TTTTATGATACAGCTGACCATAAATTCATGAAATTTTAAAAGGGTTTTCAGTAAACATGATAATTTTGATGTTTCGTTGTTTCGTAGTTCTTGGTTTGAAAGGCCAGAGTTACTGTTAGAACTTAGAGACTGTTTTTAAAGGGCCATACCGATTGGGTATGCCTTCAAACACCTAATCAATATAAAACCAATCCTCTGTTGCATGTTTTGCAGAAGATGTACAGCTGAAGTGCTTGAATCACTCAAGAAAAATTTTAGTATTTAGTTGTGTAAAGCTTGATCTTTGTGTTATGCATTGAGTTTTTTCTTGTCATGATTGATTAGTTCAACTTAATTGACTTATTTTTCTTGCTATTTTACTTTTGCAGAATGATGGAGTAAGATTATTTGTTGGGCTACCCCTAGATACAGTTTCAGACTGCAATACGGTGAACCATGCTAGAGCAATTGCAGCTGGGTTGAAGGCTCTGAAGCTATTGGGGGTGGAAGGAGTAGAGCTCCCAGTCTGGTGGGGAATGGTTGAGAAAGAAGCCATGGGGAAATATGAATGGTCAGGCTACCTTGCTGTTGCAGAGATGGTTCAGAAAGCCGGTCTCGAGCTTCATGTGTCACTTTGCTTCCATGCATCTAAACAACCAAAGATCTCACTCCCTGAGTGGGTATCTCGCCTTGGTGAGTCCCAACCTAGTATCTTCTTTAAAGATCGGTCAGGGCAGCAATACAAGGAGTGCGTATCATTGGCTGTCGATGAACTTCCTGTTCTCAATGGAAAGACTCCAATCCAAGTTTACCATGACTTCTGTGAAAGCTTTAAATCTTCATTCGCTCCTTTCCTGGGTTCCACAATAACGGTAAGAAATCCTGAACCCTCAAACTCTATATTGAAAGATTAATCATCTTACTCTCTTTGGTTTCACACTGGTTCTGAACTGTCAATCTCTCCTGTATTGCTGTATTGTTAAATTTCAGGGCATCTCAATGAGCCTAGGACCCGATGGTGAGCTTCAATATCCTTCTCATCGCCGACTAGTCAAAAGTAAAATTCCTGGAGTTGGAGAGTTCCAATGTTATGATGAAAGCATGCTTAGCAATCTTAAACAACATGCTGAAGCCACCGGAAATCCCTTGTGGGGTCTTGGCGGTCCTCATGATGTTCCAAACTATGACCAGTCACCGAACTCTAGCAACTTCTTCAAGGACCATGGGGGATCATGGGAGTCTCCTTATGGTGACTTTTTCCTTTCCTGGTACTCAAACCAGCTCATATCTCATGGAGATCGTCTCCTGTCCCTTGCCTCTTCAACTTTCACAGACGCTGAAGTGACAATTTATGGCAAAGTCCCACTAATTCACTCTTGGTACAAAACAAGGGCCCACGCTTCTGAGCTAACATCTGGCTTCTACAATACATCCTCTAGAGATGGTTATGAAGCAGTTGCCCAGATGTTTGCAAGGAATTCGTGCAAAATTATATTGCCTGGAATGGACCTGTCAGACGAACGTCAGCCACAGGACTCCCTTTCAAGTCCTGAGTTATTACTATCACAAATTACAACAGCTTGCAGAAAGCATGGGGTTGAGATTGCTGGGCAAAACTCATCCGTTTCAGGTGGTCATGGGGGCTTTCAACAGATAAAGAAGAATTTGATGGGAGAGAATGTAATGGACCTGTTCACTTATCAGAGAATGGGAGCTGATTTCTTCTCACCAGAACATTTTCCTTTATTTTCGAAGTTTGTTTGGACCCTCAATCAACCAGCACTGCAGTCAGATGATCTACCCATCGAAGAAGAAGTTGTTGAGTCTGTACGTTCGAATTCAGAATCAGTCATCCACATGCAAGCTGCTTCGTAGGAGTTAGAATTATAATGTATATGTAAAATTTGTATACTATACTTGTATCTGATGAGTATTAGGCAAAATTATATAAGCTAAAGCATAACAAGAATGGCCAGTATATTACTGGCATTACCCTGTACCTCCTGTACCAAAAACTATGGTCATGTGAGCAATTTTAGCTTCGTTTGGATTGGATGGTAAATGTTCATGTTACTTTCACTCTCTTGTTCTGCAGCGTCTTCATATTTTATTAACCCATTGTTTCATCTTCTAGCTTGAAACACTCCAAATGCCTAAATCAAATACCAAATCCCAAAATGTCAAAATTGAATACTCCCAATGTTGATGTCCAAAATTGGATTCAACTTAGATAGAAAAAGTGTGGAGACATCAACAGGACTAGGGGTTGTGGGCCTTCGGCCACAAATCGATCATACAGAAGAAAGATGAAAGAAGAAATCGTCAAGCTTCGGGTATCGACGTGGTACCTGCTAAAAGCTCTCCGATGCTTAAATTAGCAAGTGTGGGGTACCCAGTAATTTTGACAGAGTAACAGTAAAGGTAAAAAGTAATTACCATTTTACTTGGAAACTATTCTTCCTTTATATAGAAATGAAAGTGGGAGTTTGCACAAAGTGTCGATTTAGACTTTGTGCAAATCACTATGGTAATGACACGTGTCCAAGGCTTTAGGTTATGTAGTTGGAAGCTTCGGCAACCGTCTTGGGTAGGCAATTGCCGCATTGAAGGAAGGTATCTCTTCGGCAAACTAAGATAATGATGATGTCATCAATGTTTTTGGGGATTGCCCTGAAAGTTTTTTTTTTTTCTTCGGCAACCAGTGTGTCTGTCTATGCACCAGTCCCTCAATGCCGAATGTGCTCGGTTGATTATGGCAAATACAGTAGTCCCTTAGTTGCCGATCAATGAGTGGCTTCTAGAAGCTGCTTCGGCGTTGAGGTAACATGTCATGGTCTGAAGAGCAGTTTTGAGATAGACGGTGACCGGATCGGTATGTCGGTTGTCGAAGGATGAGGTCGTGTCAGACCAATTAAAAGGGGGAAAATAATCCTGGCATGAGTCGTATGCGAGTCTCGTATGTTATCGACATGGAGCCTGCCAATCAGTAGGGTTCACGTCATGCACGAGTCATGCATGAGTCCCCTTATGCAATCAGCATAGAACCTATCGATCGGTATAGATTGCATCAGGCAGTGAAGGAGTACAAGGTGTTGAATGAGTTCTGGGACCTTATACTAAATAAGATTGTGGATGAGTAGTTGGGCTGGGAGAAGCTCATAGCGATGTTCCCTACGTTGGGGATAAACTTTGACACCAGCAGCGTTCCTCTTGCCATTCCTCCTCCAAGGAATGGATCTTTGCTTCCCCATCGTCTGCTGATGTTGCTGTTTATCTCGATGCCGAAACTGATGCTGGTGCCAAAGGTAGCGGTGGTGGCAGAGGCAAAGATGCCAAGTAGGTTGCTGGGGAGGGGCAGGGCATGGATGTTAAAGCCTGAGGGCTTTGTATGTTTTTGTTTTTGTATGTAGCGTATGTATCTTCTGTAAAAAAATTTGAGAGTGCCGAAAATACTCATGTTACGTATGGATATTTTGTCATGTCATAAGGCGAGGGTATTTTGGTAATTTATCATAGCTTGTTGTATGTTTTAACAAATGTCTTGCTAAATCGTAACTATAAGTGTGTGTCGAAGGCACTTGTGTGGGTAAAAATGAGCCAAGGTAAGACATTTCATTTAGGTGGGTGCCAAAAGGCATACGCACATAGGAAACTTGGTAAAGCATAAAACATAAGTTCCAAAAGCATAAGAATAATGTGAAAATATAGGTGCCAACGGTAAATACCTTGGCTTATTTATCTGTGGTAATACTTAAAGTGATTAGCATTCCAAGGATAAGACAGGGGATTGCCATTGCAACTGCGAAGTTGATAAGTGAAGGGGCGGCAAACCTTAATCACTTCATAGGGACCTTCCCATGTTGGTTCGAGGGTACCTTCGACTGAGTTTTTGGTGGCTAGCGAGGCCTTACCCATGATCCAATCTCCAAGTTTGAAAGCGCGAGGCTTCACACGAGATTCATAGTATTTGGTAACACGTTGTTTATAAGCGAAGTTGCCCATTTTGGCCTGGTCACGAAGCTCATTGATGAGGTTCAGGTTCAGGGCCAACTGCTCATCGGTTGCTTCGGCATCATATGATGACGTTTAGTTTGAGGGTTGGCCGATCTATACCGGTATAATAGCGTCAGTATCGAAGGAAATGGAGAAGGTCAAAAAGTGGTGCGGTAAGACCATAAGACCTCGGGGAGTAGGTTAGGCCAACAGCCTTTGGCTTTGTTGAGCTTTGTCTTCAGAGTCTTTTTTATTATCTTATTCATGGCTTTTGCCTAGCCATTGGACTGAGGATGGGCCGAAGAAGCAAAGCAAAGACGGATCTTGAGGTTGGAGCAAAAATATCCATGCCAAATAACTTTGTGGGCGAGAGATCGGGCACCATTGGTTGCCGCAAATGCCTTCATAAACCTCCCGAAGGACATAATTGCCTTCTTCTAGTTAAATTTATATTTTGTATCTATGTTGGGCCTATTTGCTCTACTTCTTGGGATGGGTTGCTTTTTTGGACTATCGAGCTTTTGTAATGCTTCCCACTCTTAATGAATAGAGCCATTTTCACCACACACACACACACAAATAAAATAAGAAAGGGTTTGAATTTTGGTACGTTGGGGTTTGGTGTCTCAACTCAAACCAAAATTTGCTAAAATTCAAACTCCAAACCCCGAAAATGCCAAAATTCACACATCAAACCCCAATCCTATTAAATTTCTATTTGGCATCTTTGTTGGACCCAAACACCCGAAAATACACAATCTATACCTAAAACACCAGTACACAAACAACAATAAATTAAATATGGCCTTGTTCAAAATACTCGCAAATAAGGAGCAGGATACTACAACTTCAATACAGTTGTGCATGCATTAGCCCAACATCTTTCAATTTAGGCTCAATTCTGTACTGGTGGGAAGATGCACCAATTTGGCTTGATGCTCTTATTCGAGCTGACAGTATGTATATCTTGTGATTTCTAATGAAATATTAAAGCCTTTTAACAAAAGAAACAAAACCTACAACTTCAATGGCTGATTGGACATAATAAAATATATAAAATGAACGCCAAAATAAAATTAAATGTGGCGTTAAATTTCAGCAATACGAGGGTTTTTATAAAAATAACTACTATGTACATTAACAAGTAAAATATACAACACATGGTGGATGACAGAACCAAAGCTCTCCGACTTTTATTCCAGAATTCTTCCGTAGTTCGGCAAAATCATGATCCAGCCCGCCTGTCAAGCCCAGCACTGCAATCACCTTCAGCAACAGTCCCATTGAATTCAACCCACAAAATGACCATTAAACCTAGCTGCTCCTGAACCACAACAAAAAGATAGGGTTAGCTATGCTCATCTACATAAATATTGGCATCTCCTACAGACCAATTAGCTTGACTATCATTAAACATCAGAGCACACAGAACCATCCATTCAGATTATGTAAGTATTGCTGATATCTATGGTCAAAGCGTTATGTCTCAAGTATATAATAGTTTATCAATTTATTAATTTAGATTCAAATTAAACTATTTACCAGATTCTGGAAGATTCAGCTTCCAAATCATTATTCACAGGCGATCTTGGTGTCAAAGCTGCTGAGGCAGATTGAAAATGCCTGGAATGCTGATATTGGGTACCGGTAATCCATGGTAAATAAATCTTTCCCCACTTTTCCAAATTGGAGGATGATCTTCTCGTGTTCTGGCCCAGCTGGTCCATTTTCTGGAGAAGCCACCAACTGAAAGTTTTTCACTGAAGCAACTGTTACTCGTCCATGGAAGTTCAAACACCAACACTGGAGTTGCTCATGCCACCTAGGAGACTTATTTCTTAACACCAGCACCCCACTTTTCTGGCTGGCCAAAGGCCCTGATATTCTTTCCACATGGTTTGATTTTGATCGGAAAAATGGGAGGGATGGAAGGAATTCTGCATTACTATATGAAAAATCTGCCTGAGTGGGGGCTACTCCTCCAGGTTCAACTGAAGTGGCAGGAATGGCATCCATGGTACACTGCATTCTCCTTGGACCCCTGCTTGTACAAACTCTGTGAGTTATGTAATTTCCTGAGTTTGTTAGAATAAAAATGCACCCTGATCTAAGTGTACTGAACAAATTATTATCACAGCAGAGACTAAGAGAAAAAGGAAAGCATCACCTATGCAGATGAATTCCTAGATGTACACTTATAATTTCATTCATAAAGGAAGGTTCAAGAACTTGTCAGAGAAGGAAAAATTTTACCTGGAACCCAACATATTTAGTTCATACTGGATGTGAGCAACTGGATAGTTTCCAGCAGGGACCCTAGGTGAAACTTGTTTCAAATTTACTGGCCTAGTAGAGCGACTTTTTGTAATCTTGGCTCCGGCATGTGTCGGCTGCCCATCAAAGATTGTGAACTTTGTTCCCAAAAAGTTTGATCTTCACAAAGAGAGGGGAATAGTGTGTTAATATTTAAGCTCATGGTGAAAAGAAGAAGTTACGTCATATGCATCTTCAGGCACACCTCAATTTCCCAATATAGTTGCTGCTCCCCTTTGACATATCATCAGCATTTAGTGAGACAATATAATCAGTGCAGGTGGCGCGTTTATATTTGCGCGCAGCAAGTAGGAACTTTCCCTCATCAGTTAGTGCTGCCATGGACAACAAAAAAGTTAAAAAAGGTTATAGCTCAAAAAGGAAACCAGAAGAGGACACAGGCCCACTATTTACAGAAAGTGACGGCAATTTCTGGAGAGGGAATGAATACCTAGATAACCTAACTAAACAAAACCAGATCAAAGATGGAAAAGCCATATCTTTGAAAAACAACCTAAAAGAAGAAGAAGAAAAAGAAAAAAGAAAAAAAGTTACTTATCATTCACACTGTACTACACAATAAGAAACATCCATTTAGGTTAGAAAATGCTCACCATGGGTAAGACCAAGGAAAAGGTAATATGTTTGGCTGGAACGGTTCCGTTTTATAAAGCACTGCAGGAGATCATCCCTCGGACCAGGCTGCAGACAGCAAAAAACAGATATTGAAAATATGTAAAAAGAAGATTTCAAAGGAAAGAATAAATCAAAATTTTGGCAAACCCAAGAGTTTCCAATCAGAAAATCAAACATAATGAGAGCACAGAACAAGATTGACATGATCTTAGGCTCTTCCCATCACTGTACACTGCATGTCATCTAAAAATTTAGCTGATAAACACTCAACATAGGAAATGGATAGGAAATTTCAGCCACTATCATCATTGAGGGAAATTGGTAAGCGATTTCCTCTATAAACATTACAAAGACAGAATTCGGAGCAATTGACATAGAAGGACCAAGACTTATCCTAACTAGTCCACTCCAATCTCACACCAGAAGCATCCCAGAGAAAGAGAAGAAAAAAAAAAAAAAACAGCAATTTCCTCCAAAACCCCCATCATGTTTTGTAAATTGGAAACTGTTAATGCAGCGAGATCAAACACAAATATAAATTCGACCATAAACTCAATCAATATAAAGCTTCTTTCTTTTTCCTTGAGAGAGAAAAAGAGACCTGCTTGACGGAGATGGGGAAGGTCAGCTTCCCAGTGAGCTCAGGAGCCTTGACGAT